AAACATTCATGCCATGTTTCGTTTCATTCCATTGACTGGTTCTCTAAAAGAAGACATTTGTATGTATTTCCCATAGGGTCCCATGTTAAACTAAGTCCCCCGCTGGCGGCCATCTTGGATGATGGATCAGCTTCAAAGTAACAACACTCTGTCAGCACCTCATAAGGAACATTCATACCATGTTTGGTTTCATTCCATTCAGTGGTTCTCTAAAAGAAGACATTTGAATGTATTTCCCATAGGGTCCTATGTTAAACTAATTCCCCCGTTGGCGGCCATCTTGGATTATGGATGGTCTTCAAAGTAACAACACTCGGTCAGCACCTCATAAGAAACATTCATGCCATGTTTGGTTTCATTCCATTCAGTGGTTCTCTAAAGAAGACATTTGTATGTATTTCCCATAGGGTCCCATGTTAAACTAAGTCCCCCGCTGGCGGCCATCTTGGATGATGGATCAGCTTCAAAGTAACAACACTCTGTCAGCACCTCATAAGGAACATTCATACCATGTTTGGTTTCATTCCATTCAGTGGTTCTCTAAAAGAAGACATTTGAATGTATTTCCCATAGGGTCCTATGTTAAACTAATTCCCCCGTTGGCGGCCATCTTGGATTATGGATCGTCTTCAAAGTAACAACACTCGGTCAGCACCTCATAAGAAACATTCATGCCATGTTTGGTTTCATTCCATTCACTGGTTCTCTAAAAGAAGACATTTGTATTTATTTCCCATAGGGTCATATGTTAAACTAATTCCCCCGCTGGCGGCCATCTTGGATTATGGATCGGCTTCAAAGTAACAACACTCGGTCAGCACCTCATAAGAAACATTCATGCCATGTTTCGTTTCATTCCATTCACTGGTTCTCTAAAAGAAGACATTTGTATGTATTTCCAATAGGGTCCTATGTTAAACTAAGTCCCCCCCTGGCGGCCATCTTGGATGATGGATCCGCTACAAAGTAACAACACTTGGTCAGCACCTCATAAGGAACATTCATGCCATGTTTGGTTTCATTCCATTCAGTGGTTCTCTAGAAGAAGTTCAAAATGTAAAAAGTTAACGACGACGACGGACAACGCCGGACGATGGACGACGGACGCCAAGTGATGAGAAAAGCTCACTTGGCCCTTCGGGCCAGGTGAGCTAAAAAAGGATATTTCATGAGGTAAACAATTTTTGAAACTGGAATATTGATGAAATTTGGGTCAGTGTGGTCACCTTGCCAACATTTTGTAGTTTGTCAAATCATTGGACACTGGTTTCATGTTTTACTTTTAATTGTTGTGGTCAGAAATCATAACTTAAGATGATTGTGTCTGCAGGAAATGATCATTTTAAAGATCTATATTTCAATGATGTTCTCAAAACAATTAACATTTAGGCAAAAAAGACTTACAGTGTATGTTCACTGGTGTTAATATGTCTTTTGATTAAGCTAAGCCATTTCAATTGATATTTTATAGTGTGTCTTTCTATGTTGTGATGTTACACTATTGTTTCAGATAAGGGTTTGGTACCATTAAAACGTTTAAACCCGCTGCAATTGTTTGCACCTGTCCTAAGTCAGGAATCTGATGTTCAGTAGTTGTCGTTTGTTGATGTGGTTCATAAGTGTTTCTTGTTTCTCGTTTTTTATATAGATTAGACCGTTGGTTTTCCTGTTTGAATGGTTTTACACTAGTAATTTTTGGGGCCCTTTATAACTTGCTGTTCGGTGTGAGCCAAAATTTGGGTCAGTGTGGTCACCTTGCCAACATTTTGTAGTTTGTCAAATCATTGGACACTCGTTTCATGTTTTACTTTTAATTATTGTGGTCAGAAATCATAACTTAAGATGATTGTGTCTGCAGGAAATGATCATTTTAAAGATCTATATTTCAATGATGTTCTCAAAACAATTAACATTTAGGCAAAAAAGACTTACAGTGTATGTTCACTGGTGTTAATATGTCTTTTGATTGAGCTAAGCCATTTCAATTGATACTTTATAGTGTGTCTTTCTATGTTGTGATGTTACACTATTGTTTCAGATAAGGGTGAAGGTTTGGTACCATTAAAACGTTTAAACCCGCTGCAATTGTTTGCACCTGTCCTAAGTCAGGAATCTGATGTTCAGTAGTTGTCGTTTGTTGATGTGGTTCATAAGTGTTTCTTGTTTCTCGTTTTTTATATAGATTAGACCGTTGGTTTTCCTGTTTGAATGGTTTTACACTAGTAATTTTTGGGGCCCTTTATAGCTTGCTGTTCGGTGTGAGCCAAGGCTCCGTGTTGAAGACCTTACTTTGACATGTCATGGTTTACTTTTATAAATTTTGACTTGGATGGAGAGTTGTCTCATTGGCACTCATACCACATCTTCTTATATCTATTTACAAACTGAAAAAAAACCAGAAATTTCATGATGTGAATAAATTTTGAAAAAAAGGAATATTAATAAAATTTTTGAAAATGGAATATGTATGAAATTTGTTAATTTAATCAAAGAAATATTAAACATACTTCCTGTTTCTTCAGGTTGGATTAAACCATCTGCCATCATGTAATCAGGACCTTCAGGCGAAAAAGATTTACCTAAAATAAATTTAATGATGGAAACATTAAACATACTTGCTGTCACTTCAGCGTGAATAAATCCATCTGCCATCACATAACCATGACCTTCAGGTGCACAAGGTTTACCTAAAATGAATACAAATCATTCTCAAAACTAAAATTAATGTGATGAAAAAGGTTGATTTAAAATGAAATCAAAATGAATTTTGTTTGAAATGGCTATTAACTAAACAAAAATTATTGTCTGATCAATGAAACATAAAAACTCAGGTGTCAGACCATTAACAAGACCAATACATGTCTGGACCTGAGTGTCTACATGCAATTGATTGAAGTTATCTGTTACTTATGCATACTGTGAATTAATTTATTTTCATGGGTACCAATTTTCGTGGTTTAAGGAAAACTCGCATTTTCGTTGATATTTTATTTCGTGGTTTTGTCAAAGTCTGCAATCATTCCTATAGAATATTTGTAGTTCGTTGAACATAGAAATTCATGGTTGCCCTGTACCCACGAAATCCACGAAAATTGGTATCCCACGATCTTGAATGAATCAACAGTAACTGATTATACCCTTTCATTGAAGCCAAGAAAACTTTTACAATGTTCCCTTTGATAGATTGCCAAGAAAAATTCTCACCATTGGCGAACTAAATCATTTTTCTTCATGACTACATTTATGTATCTTTTCATCAACAATGAGTTCATGTTCCATATTTACTGATTAAAAAAAAACAAGGCTATATTTTATGAAAAACATGAATGTGTCCATAGTACACGGATGACCCACCCGCACTATCATTTTCTATGTTCAGTGGACCGTGAAATTGGGGTAAAAACTCTAATTTGGCACTAAAATTAGAAAGATCATATCATAGGGAACATATGTACTAAGTTTCAAGTTGATTGGACTTCAACTTCATCAAAAACTACCTTCACCAAAAACTTCAACCTGAAGCGGGACAGACGGATGAACGAACAAACAGACGGATGGATGAACGAAAGGATGAACGGATGAACGAATGGATGCACAGACCGAAAAACATAATACCCCTAAGTGGGGTATAACAAATAATATAATTATACTAAATTTGATATATTTGATTTTTTTTAAATTTTTGGTGTTTTAATGCCACTTTTAAGCACCGCTTTTGGGCTATTTCGTGGCGGCCAGTTTTTATTGGTGGAGGAAGCCAGAGTGCCCGGAGAAAACCACCGACCGTGGATAGGAAAACTGACAATCCTAGTCAATTAAGATTGGAGTCGAGTGTTTAGTTTCTTTTGTTACCTATTTTGACATCGGACTCAGACTTCTTTGAGTTTTACTGTGCATATTGGCATGGGTTTGTTAATTCTACATTGGCTAGAGGTATAGGAGGAGGGTTAAGATCTCACTAAACATGTTTCATACCAGTGTAATTTTGCGCCTGTCCCAAGTCAGGAGCCTCCGGACTTTGTTAGTCTTGTACGGTTTTTAATTTTAATTCATTTTAATGTTTTATAGTTAAGTGTGACATCAATTTTCACGAACTGGTACACATTTTTGTCTAGGGGCCAGTTGAAGCCCACCTCCAAGTGCAGAATTTTATCGCCGTGTTGAAGACCCATTGGTGGCCTTGCACTGTTTTCTGCTCTTTGACCATTTCCCAATTTCCATTCTCAATTCTATTCATAATAACCTACAAACCTGTTGGTCTTTCTTGGCAAAAATTCACACTGAATATCTGCCTTTTTCACAATTTGAAATAATAACTCTAGCTGCAAAACATTAATAAAATGCTCCGCTGGGGCGCAGCTTGATACGACCACAGAGGTCGAACCCTGAACAGTTGGGGCAAGTATGGACACAACATTCAAGCTTGATACAGCACTGAATTTGGATTGTGATTAAATACTTGACACAGCATAGGTTTCTGACACAGAATGAATGTGGTCTAAGAACTTAAAAATTTTTAATTTACCTATTCAAACCATATCATTATTATTTGCTTTTATATATAAATCAGAAATAACCAATTTAAAATGGAAAATTTTAAAGAAAAAAAAAATCCCTCCACTAAATTTTTTAAACCCCCTTATGATTCATCACCCCCAAACTCAATCCCAGCCTTCCCTTTGTGGTATGGTACCTTGCAGTACAATTTCAGAGAGATCCATACACTTGAACACAAGTTATTGTCTGGAAACTAGAAAAATGTTTGTTTTTAGGCCCCTTTTTGGCCCCAAATTCCTAAACGTTTAGAGCAATTACCCCCAAACTCAAACCCAGCTTTCCTTTTGTGATATGGAACGTTGTAGTACAATTTCATACACTTACACACAAGTTATTGTCCTGAAACTAGAAAAATGCTTGTTTTTTGCCCCTTTTTGGCCACTAATTCCTAAAATTTTGAGGCAATTACCCCCAAACTCAATCCCAGCCTTCCCTTTGTGGTATATATGGTACCTTGCAGTACAATTTCAGAGAGATCCATACACTTGAACACAAGTTATTGTCTGGAAACTAGAAAAATGCTTGTTGTTAGGCCCCTTTTTGGCCCCAAATTCCTAAACGTTAAGGGCAATTACCCCCAAACTCAAACCCAGCTTTCCTTTTGTGATATGGAACCTTGTAGTACAATTTCATAAAGATCCATACACCTACACACAAGTTATTGTCCTGAAACTAGAAAAATGCTTGTTTTTTTGCCCCTTTTTGGCCCCTAATTCCTAAAATTTTGAGGCAATTACCCCCAAAATCAATCCCAGCATTCCCTTTGTGGTATGGTACCTTGCAGTACAATTTCAGAGAGATCCATACACTTGAACACAAGTTATTGTCTGGAAACTAGAAAAATGCTATTTTTGGCCCCTTTTTGGCCCCTTATTCCTAAACGTTTTGGGCAATTACCCCCAAACTCAATTCCAGCTTTCCCTTTGTGATATGGAACCTTGTAGTACAATTTCAGAAAAATCCATATACTTACACACAAGTTATTATCAAGAAACTAGAAAAATGCTTGTTTTTTGCCCCTTTTTTGGCCCCTAATTCCTAAAATTTTGCGACAATTACCCCCAAAATCAATCCCAGCATTCTGTTTGTGATATGGAACCTTGTGGTACAATGTCAGAGAGATCCATACACTAACACACAAGTCATGTCTGGAAGTTACAAAAATGCTTATTTTTGGCCCCTTTTTGGCCCTTAATTCCTTAACTGTTGGTACCATAACCCCCAAAATCAATCCCAACCTTCCTTTTGTGGTATTGAACCTTATGGTAAAATTTCATGGAGATCCATTCACTTAAACTAAAGTTAGATTGCGAAAACCAATGTGTCTTCGGACGACAACAACGCCAACGTCATACCAATATACGACCAAAAATTTTTTAATTTTTGCGGTCGTATAAAAATAAAATGAATGGAGACATATCAAAAATTTGTTAGAAAGGTACTAGAAATTGATATAAATTTTTAATAGGAAAGAAATATACATTCAAACCACAATCTGTAAGTAAGAATTTTATGATAAAAAATGCTTATATCAGTATTCCTGATGTCGAGGACAAGAGACAATTTTCAGTACTCATCCACTTGCCCTTTGGTCTCTGCTACAAAGTTATCTCATTGGCAATCATGCAACAAGTACTCATTTTATTATTGTAAAATATTTGGTAGACAGTTGAAAAATTTGAATGAAATTAAATTTTAGTAAGCACAATGTGTGGGAGAGTACTTATACATCCCAGTTCCTTATATGAAATGACTCTTTACTCAATTGCAGAACAGGATATTTTTTACATTGTTTACTTAAACACAATTTTTGTGAAATTTTATACACTATATTTGGTTGTACAGCATATTTTTGTACCAATTAATATGAAATAAGGTATACCAATTTCCTGATGATAAAATTAACATAAATCTTTATCACAGTAATGAAAGCATATTTTTGTACCAATTAATATGAAATAAGGTACTGTAAATTAAGAAATTATTGCGTGCATTTATTATTGCGATTTTGTCATTTTAGACTAAAATGCGATTTTAATTTTTGCGATATTGTGAAAAATCCTGTTTAATTCATGTACAAAGTTTTAAAATGCGAGTTTAAATTATTGCGATTATAACCCTGTCGCATTTTTCGCAATAATAAAAACATCGCAATAATTTCTGAATTTACAGTATACCAATTTCCTGATGATAAAATTAACATAAATCTTTATCACAGTAATGAAATCTAATTAGGTCATAATCAGTCTATTAGATTAGAAAAAGAAATGTTTACCCTTTCAAATATTTCCTGTTTTTCACTATCTTTCTTTCTCTTTATTCTATGGGTCAGTATGTGCATCATGATATTTGCATTGCTTTTGATCTCATCCAAATCACATTGTAATACTTGCGGCTGAACACTGTCCAATTTGAAATAATAACTCTAGCTGCAACATTAAAAATAAAGTGAATGAAGACTTATCAAAAGTTTGTTAGAAAGGTACTAGAAATGGATATAAATTTCTACTAGGAAAGAAATATACTTTAAACCACAATCCGTAAGTAAGTATCTAACGATAAAAAATGCCTATATAAGTATTCCTGATGTAGAGGACAAGAGACAATTTTCAGTACTCATCCACTTGCCCTTTGGTCTCTGGTACAAAGTTATCTCATTGGCAATCATGCCACAAGTACTCATTTTATTATTGTAAAATATTAGGTAGACAGTTGACAAATTTGAATGAAATAAAATCTTAGTAAGTGCAATGTGTGGGAGATTCCTTATACATCCCAGTTCCTTATATGAAATGAATCTTAAAATTTTACTCAATTGCAGAACATGATATTTTTTTACATTGTTTACTTAAAATGCAATTTTTCTGAAATTTTATACACTATATTTGGTTGTACAGCAAATTTTGTACCTATTTATATGAAATAAGGTATACCAATTTCCTGATGGAAATTAACATAAATCTTTATCACAGTAATGAAATCTAATAAGGTCATAATCAGTCTATTAGATTAAAAAAATAAATGTTTACCCTTTCAAATATTTCCTGTTTTTCACTATCTTTCTTTCTCTTTATTCTATGGGTCAGTATGTGCATCATGATATTTGCATTGCTTTTGTTCCATCCAAATCATATTGTAATACTTGTGGCTGAACACTGTCCAATTTGAAAAAATAACTCTGGCTGCAACACATTAAAAATAAAGTGAATGGAGACTTATCAAAAGTTTGTTAGAAAGGTACTAGAAATGGATATAAATTTCTACTAGGAAAGAAATATACTTTCAAACCACAATCCGTAAGTAAGTATTTTACGATAAATAAAATGCTCCGCAGGGTGCAGCTTGATACGACCACAGAGGTCGAACCCTGAACAGTTGGGGCAAGTATGGACACAACATTCAAGCTTGATACAGCTTTGCATTTGGATTGTGATTAAATATTTGACACAGCATAGGTTTCTGACACAGAATGAATGTGGTCTAAGAACTTGAAAATTTTAAATTGGACATTCACCTATTATGGTCCAATATCCAAAATCTAAATACATGGTTAGATTCAGCATATCAAAGAACCCAAAGAATTCAATTTTTGATGAAATCAAACAAAGTTTAATTTTGGACCCTTTTGACCTCAATGTGGACAAAGTTGATAACGGGGCCCAAAAATCAAAAATCTAAATACATGGTTAGATTCAGCATATCAAAGAACCCCATATATTCAATTTTTGTTGAAATCAAACAAAGTTTAATTTTAGACCCCCATTTGGACCAACTTGAAAACTGGGCCCATAATAAAAAATCTAAATACATGTTTAGATTCAGCATATCAAAGAACCCTAAGAATTCAATTTTTGTTAAAATCAAACTAAGTTTAATTTTGGACCCTTTGGACCTTAATGTAGACCAATTTGAAAACAGAACCAAAAATTAAGAATCTAAATACACGGTTAGATTCGGCATATCAAAGAACCCCAATAATTCAATTTTTTGACGAAATCAAACAAAGTTTAATTTTAGACCCTTTGGAACTCAATGTGGACCAATTTAAAAACAGGGCCCAAAATCCACAAACTAAATACACAGTTAGATTCAGCATATTAAAGAACCCCAAGAATTCAAGAATAAAACCCCATTGAAATTGGTCAAGAAATAAGCAATTTATACGAAGTATCTTCTTTTGCACAATACTGTGCAATTAAATATTTCTTGCTATTGCGCAATACTGTACAATTGACAATTTCTTGCTATTGCGCAATATTGTGCTATTGGATATTTCTTGCTATTGCGCAATATTGTGCAATTGAAGATTTCTTGCTATTGCGCAATACTGTGCAATTGAAGATTTCTTGCTATTGTGCAATACTGTGCAATTGAAAATTTCTTGCTATTGCACAATACTTATTATATAATAATTTACACATCCTGTTTGGTGTGTATCTCCTACCATATCATGATTATTTGCTTTTAAATATAAATCAGAAATAACCAACTTAAAATGGAAAATTTAAAAAGAAAAAAAAAAAGAAAAAAAGAAACAAATGAAAAAAAAAAATCCCCCCCAAAATTTTTTGAACCCCCTTATGATTCATCCAAGCCTTCCCTTTGTGGTATGGTACCTTGCAGTACAATTTCAGAGGGATCCATACACTTGAACACAAGTTATTGTCTGGAAACTAGACAAATGTGTTTTTTGGCCCCTTTTTGGCCCAAAATTCCTAAACGTTTAGGGCAATTACCCCCAAACTCAAACCCAGCTTTCCCTTTGTGATATGGAACCTTGTAGTACAATTTCAGAAAGATCCATACACTTACACACAAGTTATTGTCCTGCAACTAGAAAAATGCTTGTTTTTTGCCCCTTTTTGGCCCTTAATTCATAAAATATTGAGGCAATTACCCCCATCATCAATCCCAGCCTTCCCTTTGTGGTATGGTACCTTGCAGTACAATTTCAGAGAGATACATACACTTGAACACAAGTTATTGTCTGGAAACTAGAAAAATGCTTATTTTTGGCCTCTTTTTGGCCCCAAATTCCTAAACGTTTCGGCAATTACCCCCAAACACAATTCCAGCTTTCCCTTTGTGATATGGAACCTTGTAGTACAATTTCAGAAAGATCCATACACTTACACACAAGTTATTGTCATGAAACTAGAAAAATGCTTTTTTTTATTGCCCCTTTTTTGGCCCCTAATTCCTAAAATTTTGAGGCAATTACCCCCAAAATCAATCCCAGCATTCCTTTTGTGATAAGGAACCTTGTGGTACAATGTCAGAGAGATCCATACACTAACACACAAGTTATGTCTGGAAGTTACAAAAATGCTTATTTTTGGCCCCTTTTTGGCCCCTAATTCCTTTACTGTTGGTACCATAACCCCCAAAATCAATCCCAACCTTCCTTTAGTGGTATTGAACCTTGTGGTAAAATTTCATAGAGATCCATTCACTTAAACTAAAGTTAGAGTGCGAAAACCAATGTGTCTTCGGACGACGACGTCATACCAATATACGACCACAAAAATTTTTTTGCGGTCGTATAAAAATGCCTATATAAGTATTCCTGATGTAGAGGACAAGAGACAATTTTCAGTACTCATCCACTTGCCTTTGGTCTCTGGTACAAAGTTATCTCATTGGCAATCATGCCACATGTACCCATTTTATTATTGTAAAATATTAGGTAGACAGTTGACAAATTTGAATGAAATCAAATCTTAGTAAGCGCAATGTGTGGGAGATTACTTATACATCCCAGTTCCTTCAATGAAATGGTTCTTTTTACTCAATTGCAGAACAGGATATTTTTTTATATTGTTTACTTAAAACACAATATTTCTTTATTTTTATACACTATATTTGGCTGTAAAGCATATTTTGTACCAATTAATATGAAATAAGGTATACCAATTTCCTGATGGAAATTAACATAAATCTTTATCACAGTAATAAAATTTAAGAAGACCATAATCAGTTTTTTTTTTTGAAAAATAAATGTTTACCCTTTCAAATATTTCCTGTTTTTCACTGTCTTTCCTTCTTCTCTTTATTCTATGGGTCAGTATGTGCCTCAAGATATATATCTTTTAATCTCATCCAAATCACATTGTAATACTTGCTGCTGAACACTGTCCAATTTGAAATAATACTTTTAGCTGCAAAACATTAAAAATAAAGTGAACGGAGACTTACAATGTACCAAAAGTTTGTTAGAAATGTACTAGAAATGGATATAAATTTCTACTAGGAAAGAAATATACTTTCAAACCACAATCTGTAAGTAAGTATTTTACGATAAAAAATGCTTATATCAGTATTCCTGATGTCGAGGACAAGAGACAATTTTCAGTACTCATCCACCTGCCCTTTGGTCTCTGGTACAAAGTTATCTCATTGGCAATCATGCCACAAGTACTCATTTTATTATTGTATAATATTAGGTAGACAGTTGACAAATTTGACTGAAACTAGAGGCTCTCAAGAGCCTGTGTTGCTCACCTGTATTTACTGATGCTTTGGAAATCATGTAAAATAAGGTTAAAATCATAATTAATAGTATTAGATATTAGATATTATAATGATACCTAAGATAACAAAAAACTGCAAAATTTCTGTAAAATTACTTACTCAGGGCAGCAACCCAACAACGGTTTGTCGGATTCGTCTGAAAATTTGAAGGCAGATAAATCTCAATCTGATGAACATTTTTGTCACCTGTGAGATTTGCTCTAAATGCTTTAGTTTCAGAGATATAAACCAAAAACTGCATTTTACCCCTATGTTCTATTTTTAACCAAGTCAGCCATGATGGTTGGCAGGTGGGGTCATCGGACAAATTTTTCAAACTAGATACCCTAATAATGATTATGGCCAAGTATGGTTAAATTTGTCTCAGTAGTTTCAGAGAAGAAGATTTTTGTAAAAGACAACAAAAATTTACGAAAAATTGACTATAAAGGGCAATAACTCCTAAAGGGGTCAACTGACAATTTTGGTCATGACGACTTATTTGTAGATCTTACTTTGCTGGACATTATTGCTGTTTACAGTTTATCTCTATCTATAATAATATTCAAGATAATAACCAATAAAATGCTCCGCTGGGGCGCAGCTTGATACGACCGCAGAGGTCGAACCCTGAACAGTTGGGGCAAGTATGGACACAACATTCAAGCTTGATACAGCACTGAATTTGGATTGTAATTAAATATTTGACACAGCATAGGTTTCTGGCACAGAATGAAAGTGGTCTAAGAACTTAAAATATTTTAATTTACCTATTCAAACCATATCAGTATTATTTGTTTTTATATATAAATCAGAAAAAACCAATTTAAAATGGAAAATTTTAAAGAAAAATAAAAAGGAAAAATAAATCCCCCCCCCCCAATTTTTTTGAACCCCCTTATGATTCATCACCCCCAAACTTAATCCCAGCCTTCCCTTTGTGGTATGGTACCTTGCAGTACAATTTCAGAGAGATCAATACACTTGAACACAAGTTATTGTCTGGAAACTAGAAAAATGCTTGTTTTTTGGCCCCTTTTTGGCCCCAAATTCCTAAACGTTTAGGGCAATTACCCTCAAACTCAAACCCAGCTTTCCCTTTGTGATATGGAACCTTGCAGTACACTTTCATAAAGATCCATACACTTACATACAAGTTATTGTCCTGAAACTAGAAAAATGCTTGTTTTTTTGCCCTTTTATGGCCCCTAATTACTAAAATTTTGAGGGAATTACCCCCAAAATCAATCCCAGCCTTCCCTTTGTGGTATGGTACCTTGCAGTATAATTTCAGAGAGATCCATACACTTGAACACAAGTTATTGTCTGGAAACTAGAAAAATGCTTATTTTTGGCCCCTTGTTGGTCCCTTTTTCCTAAGCTTTTTGGGCAATTATCCCCAAACTCAATTCCAGCTTTCCCTTTGTGATATGGAACCTTGTAGTACAATTTCATAAAGATCCATACACTTACACACAAGTAATTGTCATGAAAATAGAAAAATGCTTGTTTTTTGCCCCTTTTTGGCCCCTAATTCCTAAAATTTGGAGGCAATTACCTCCAAAATCAATCCCAGCATTCCCTTTGTGATATGGAACCTTGTGATACAATGTCAGAGAGATCCATAGACTTACACACCAAGTTATTGTCATGAAACTAGAAAAATGCTTACTTTTGGCCCCTTTTTGGCCCCTAATTCCTTAACTGTTGGTACCATAACCCCCAAAATCAATCCCCACCTTCCTTTTGTGGTATTGAACCTTATGGTAAAATTTCATTGAGATCCATTCACTTAAACTAAAGTTAGAGTGCGAAAACTAATGTGTCTTCGTACGACGACGACGACGACGACGCCAACGTCATACCAATATACGACCACAAAAATTTTTTTGCGGTCGTATAAAAACTGCAAAATTTCCTTAAAATTACCTATTCAGGGGCAGCAACCCAATAACAAGTTGTCCCATTCATCTCAAAATTTCAGGGCATATGGATCTTGACCTGATAAACAATATTACCCCATGTCAGATTTGCTCTAAATGCTTTGGTTTCAGAGATATAAGCCAAAATCTACATTTTACCCCTATGTTCTATATTTAGCCATGGTGGCCATCATGGTTGGTTGGCTGGGTCACCGGACACATTTTTAAACTAGATACCCCAATGATGATTGTGGCCAAGTTTGGTTAAATTTGGCTCAGTAGTTTCAGAGGAGAATTAAGATTTTTGTAAAAGTTAACGGACTATGGACGCCAGACGCCGGACGCCAAGTGATGAGAAAAGCTCACTTGGCCCTTTGGGCCAGGTGAGCTAAAAACTGCAAAATTTCTGTAAAATTACTAACTCAGGGGCAGCAACCCAACAACAGGTTGTAGGATTCGCCTGAAAATTTCAGGGCAGATAAATCTCAATCTGATGAACATTTTTGCCACCTGTCAGATTTGCTCTAAATGCTTTAGTTTCAGAGATATAAACCAAAAACTGCATTTTACCCCTATATTTTATTTTTAACCAAGTTAGCCATGATGGTTGGAAGGTGGGGTATTCGGACAAATTTTTCAAACTAGATACCCTAATAATGATTATGGCCAAGTATGGTTAACTTTGTCTCAGTAGTTTCAGAGAAGATTTTTGTAAAAGATTACAAAAATTTACAACAAATTGACTATAAAGGGCAATAACTCCTAAAGAGGTCAACTGACAATTTTTGTCATGACGACTTATTTGTAGATCTTACTTTGCTGGACATTATTGCTGTTTACAGTTTATCTCTATCTATAATATTCAAGATGATAACCAAAAACTGCAAAATTTCCTTAAATTACCAATTCAGGGGCAGCAACCCAACAACAGGTTGTCAGATTTGTCTGAAAATTTCAGGACAGATAGATCTTCATGTGATAATCAGTTTTACCATGTGTCAGATTTACTCTAAATGCTTTGTTTTCAGAGATAAAAGCCAAAATCTACATTTTACCCCTATGTTCTATTTCTAGCCATGGCTGCCATCTTTGCTGGTTGGCAGGGTCATCGGACACATTTTTTAAACTAGATACCCTAATGATGATTTTGGCCAAATTTGGTGGCCCAGTGGTTTCAGAGCAGAAGATTTTAGTAAAAAGCTAACGACGACAGACGACGACGAAGATGGACGCAAACGACGAACGCCAAGTGATGAGAAAAGCAATTTTTCCATTTGTAAAGGGAACTCTAGAACGGTAAAAGTGATGCCACCAAAATTCAAACTTCATCTGTGTTTTGTGGTAATAAGCATTGTGTATAAGTTTCATAATATTTGGTTGAGTCAAACTAAAGTTAGAGAACGTTTCCATTTGTAAAGGGGCATAACTCTAGAACGGTTAAAGTGACGCCACCAAAATTGAAACTTGATCTGTGTTATGTGGTAATAAGCATTGTGTATAAGTTTCATAACATTTGGTTGAGGCAAACTAAAGTTAGAGAACGGAAACCAATTTTGGGACGTACGGACGGATGGACGTACAGACATACGTACAGACAGACAATGGTAAAACTTAACGCCCCCTCCGCTACGGCGTGGGCATAACAAACTTAACATTGACCAATGACCCATGAAAATGAGGTCAAGGTCAGATAATACCTGCCAGAGAGACATATACACCTAACAATCATTCCATACAACAAATATAGTTGACCTATTGGTTATAGTTTAAGAAAACAGACCAAAACACAACAAGAGTGCACATGCTGAAATGTCTCGCCTTCTTTACTAACCATTGATTTTATGTTGATAGTCCTAAATACAAAGCTTTACTACAAGTAACACATAAACTTAACATGATCCAAGTAAAATGAGGTCAAGGTCAGATAAACCAAACGAGAAATACATGTACACCTTACAATCATTCAATAAAGCAAACATAGTTGACCTATTGCTTATTGTATCTAAGAAACAAACTTAACCATGAAAACTTAACATTGACCAATGAACCATGAAAATAAGGTCAAGGTCAGATGATACCTGACAGACAAACATATACACCTTACATTATCCTTCCATACATCAAATATAGTTGATCTATTGCTTTTAGTTGAAGAAAAACAGACCAAAACACAAAAACTTAACACTGAGAAATGAACCATGAAAATGAGGTCAAGGTCAAATGAACCATGCCAGACAGACATGCATGTACACCTTACAATCAATTTAGGCATTAAATATAGCTAACCTATTGCTTATAGTATTTAAGAAACAAACTTAACCATGAAAACTTAACATTGACCAATGAA